TCAACTCCCTTTTTGGGGGAGCTGAAGGCGGGTTATACAGGAGACTGGAGTCAAAGGTACTCCCTATCCCCAAGACGGGATCTGTGGCGGTGATCTATTGCAAGAATTGGATGAGCTGGCAGAAAGTAAGTACCGTAGTAGACCTGGTTATATCATTATACTGGGCTTGAAATTTTTCTGCAGTGAATTTCAAGGCCCAACAAATATAACATTACCTCCGACTCTTAACGTGTGAAGATGTGGTTGAAATATGGTACTATCAATGCATTTTGGTGGCGCATATATATATATATATATATATATATATATATATATATATATATATATATATATATATATATATATATATATATATATACATACATATAGGCAATGACTTTCATGAATTTTGAATTCTGGTTTTGTTGTAACAAATATTTCAGTCAATTTGAGTTGTAGAATATTGTGACTGAAAAATTAATGCTATAAATTTTATTCCCATTTCAGGTCCACTCGCAGATTGGTTAACTGAAAAAGTTGATTTTGGTTCATTGGAATTCCAAGACGATGGCAGTCTCATACCTGACAGTGAATTTAACTCTCAACTTGCTGAAATGCCCCCAGTGTTGGTTAATTCAGAAGTTGATGAGTTACAGGAGTTGGCAGTGAGCCCAGCCGACTTGGAATTACTGAACAGTCTTGTCGTCAATTCTGAAGTACCGCCACAGCCAGTCTCCCCTGGAGAAAATACTGCACCACATTTATTAGCATTGTCCCCAATGAGCAGTCCTCCACCATCCAGAAGTGATTCACCAATGCCATTTTTATCAATCCCAGAAAACACTGATATCCCTTCTTTGATCCCAGCTGCGACTCTACTGGGCGTTCTAGTCCAGCAAAGCCAAGAACAGTTGTATTTATCAAACCAGTCAATTTCATCTGAAACTTCCTTGAGCTTGCAGAATTCCCCATCCCCATCACCATCAGTTGTGTCATATACATCCAGTGAGGTCCAAGAAGAGGTCATCAGTGATTCCCCAAAAAGATCCAAGTCTAAATTAAAAACCGCCTCTGGTACCAAATATGGAAAGTTCACTGATAGGAAATCCAGAAAACGTGACCAAAATAAAGCAGCAGCAACCAGATACAGAGAAAAGAAAAAAGCAGAGGCTGATGGTATACATACAGAGGAAGAAAGACTAGTTGCTAAAAACACATCTTTAAAAGAACAAGTAGATTCCTTAACCAGAGAAATACAATATATGAAAGAACTAATGGTTGATGTGTACAAAGCTAAAGGGATGATTTAAAAATATAATTTGTATTCTATTTTATTTTGAAAATTCATTTATTTAGATGGTATAATTAAATTTATTATTTGTGTAGGATTTTATTAGACTAGATGGTTATCGTCCATTGTATTTT